GCTGCTGACAGCTTGTTTGTGCAGGGCAGCCAGTCTTCCCTGGCAGCAGCTGAGATGGATTGGAAGTTCAAAGTCTGCTTTTCAAGGCAGAGCTACCTTGAGGAGGAGGTCTGTGCTGAGGAGGCAGCCTGGCCCGTCTACAGGGAGCAGTGCAGCTGCACAGAAGCTGCCCCACCAGTACTGCTGTCTCTGACACCCCAGCTCCAAGGAGCACTGTTCACCCTACACACATGGAACTGTGCTTTTGCCTTAGCAATCAGCAAGAATTTGGGATTTGCAAGTAAATTTCCCATACATTTGGCAGTGGCTGGGGCCAGTGCTCAGACAGAAGTGGTGGAGGCATTGGCAAGTCTGAAGCTCTGCTCTGTCCTGATGGGGATCTGTTCTGCTCTGGCCAGTGGTGTTGTGCCATCGCCTGCATCGGGAGAGGTCCCTAGGGACACTCAGTGCTGCCCCAGGCACCCCAGCTGCTGCAGGGCAGACCCATGCCCATGGAGGAGCAACCATTTACTCTCCAAAGACTTCTGGGGCTGAGATGGCAGAAACCCCATTGTGAGGATGCAGCCCAGAGGTCCAGCAACATGGGTCTGCTCCCAAACTCCTCCTTTCCCAGCACCCTGCCCAGAGGTCCCAGCACAGCTGTAGGTTCCCATTGTCAGGGAACCACCCACGTGAGCCAACAGCATAACTTGGAACTCAAAAGATGAAGCTGGACATTGGGGACACCCTTTTGGCTACCATAGTACTTACTTTCCTGCTTTCCTCCTGCTCCCCCGCCCACTGTGTTGCTCCTAAGGTGGATGCATAAAAGTCAGGCAGTTGGAATTACTTTCTGTTGCCCTTGTACCTGCTTTGCATTCTCCCGTAATCTCCCAGGCTGTCAATCTTGTACTGTCGCAGGCTCTCTATTCCCAGGGAAGCTAAACACATATATATTGCACAAAGAGATCTGTGGGCTGGCGCTAAAAAAATGGAATACACCTCTCTGACTGGTGCAGACAGCCTGGCAATATACAGAGTGTGAATTATGATACTGTAATTCAAACTTTGTCAAACAGTGGGGCTTAATTAGAATTAGAATTTAGTAAAAACTAAAAAGCTGACGAGTACAATTTTGCGTTTGAGCTGCCTGCTACAGAAAATAATGAGGAGAGAATACATTAAGGCACAAAAACCTTATACATTCAAAGAGCAGCTAGCTCTGATTAAAAATACTCCCAGCAAGGCAAGGAGACTCAGCAAGAGGTGGGGGAGTCTGCAGTGCTGGCTCAGCCATAACTCTCACCCATGTTCTACAGCTTCTACTGGATGCAGCTGCAGCTCCAACTCCCCACTCTGGCTTTGGGGCATTCCTATTGGATGCCATGTGATGTCCCAGCTTGGTCTCTGTGGATTGTCAGATTAAATAAAAATATAGAAAACATATCTCATTTGGCTGTTCCCCCCTTGCCACTGGTCTGCAGTCCTATGGGTGCTCCACTGCCCTTAGTTGGTGGCACACAGGGCTGGAATTGTGCCCAATTGCCCCAGGGGATGCGCATTTTCTTCTAGTAGCCAAAGAGCAGAGTTCTTCCAAAGACCCAGTGCAAGGGTAGGGACAAAAATGACCCAAACTAGCCTAGTCATCAGCCCCGACAAGGATTCCATACTGCTGCCCTGTACTGAGCAACCAGCAAATGGGGGTTTTGCATATCGCTGCTCTTGGAGCCCTATAACAGGTTGTGGGTGGGGATGGCCTACAGGGGAGGTGACATGTCAGGGCATGCACCACCCTGACTCTGATTCATGGGCATTATAAATGAACTCTGCTGCATGCAGCTCAGTAGCTTGTGAGTGCTGATGTGTAGGAATGGACCCCAACCTCTCCTGAAAAAAAAATTATAAACCTTTACTGTAAAGATACTCTGTGCTGTGCATGAGTTCCCATCAGAGGATGGGCTTCAGAAGCTCCACTCCTCCAGTGATTGTGGAGCAGTGTCAGGGCCCCAGGAGCAAAGGGATTGCACAGGACAGTGTTGCCCTCAAAAAAGCTGTATGTGCACGGTAAACACACATACCAAGAGCTGGTGGGGTTTTCGGTGTTGGGCCATGAAGTGCTAGATTTGTTACCACTTAATAACAGAGTAAAAGAATGAAGAGAGCATTCCAGTCTTATCCGTTGCAGGGTAGGTTGCGTTCCTGTGATGACAGTGCTTGGTTATTGATCTATAAAAGGTCTAATATCTCTGTAACACCCTTTGCATGATATAGAGATGTTGTCAGTTTCAATCAACTGGCAGTCTATTATTAATCCTTGCCAGTGCCTAGAGGGATCTTGAAAAAGGATGTTGGTTTGCCATGGGCAGCATTAGGAAAGCCCTTGGTAATGGCTTGTGCCAAGCACTGCTGCTCCTGGGAAGGTTTTACTGGGCAATTCAGTGCATCCATAGTTTTCCCAACCCTCACTTGGGCAACATTCCCACCTCTCCTGCCAATGTGGGGAAAGCCCCCAAGATGCAGCTCCAGCCGAGGATTCTTTAGCAGTTGTTGTTTACCTTAGCCCCATGAGGATGGAGGGCCCTGGACACCTTTCACCCCCCACCTCCTTGGTCCCCTCATGTGCCTTTTGGCTCTTTGGAGAGTGGTTTTGGAAGGGGCACCCTCCTCTCATCTTGTGGGGAGAGTTGCCAAGAGGAGTCATCACCAAACCCAGGGAGGTTGTAAGTGCTTCTCAGCTGGCAGGTCCAATGAGCCCCCCAAAGCCAGGTGGGGGAGCCCATTTTTTGGGACACTGTGTTCCCTGCTGGGCCCATGTCCCCACGGGGGGGACATCTCCATGCAGATCCACAACCCCTACAGCCCTTCATTAGGACATGTGAGGTACACACACCCCGCAACTGTCCACTCCTCCACTCGATATTTTGGTTCCTGCACTGGAGGCGAAGCATGGGGATGATACACTAACATAGGGCTCAGTGTGTAGCAAGTCAGTGCCTTAATATTGACTTAATCATGGAGAGCAGAGTGAGGGAGAGGGAAGGGAGGGCTCCTGGCATATTGATGCAAGTTAGTGCTGTCACCACATCCCTCCTGCCAGCTCATATGGTGATGGAACATTTTCTTCGTTTGGGCTGGTAATGCTTCTCATCCCACCAGAGATGCAACATGGGTTTCTCCTTCTGCCTATTTTTAAGCATGCTTTTAAACAGAAAGACAAAAATTATGGAGTCCTTTTAGTTCCTGGAAATCCAGTAAAGACTGGGGGAAAAGCCATTCTGGGAAAAGAAGACTGCATGAAATTGTCAGACTGATAAGGCTGGGGCAGTTGGCCAGCACAGTGATGAGTGTGTTGAGTCTCAGCAGGGATGCTGATGGCAGCCCCCTGTGCAAGCCCTGGAGCTGGGCAGGTGTTCTTCAGCACTGTGGATGGTCTTGCACATTTCTGACTTTGCTCCTTTGCACATACAGACCACTTGTTAACCCTTCAGCTTCACCTAGGCTGTCAGAGCAGGAGAGCACAGCCTGTCTCACAGTGCCAATATTTCACCAGCAGTACAGCCTAAGAGGGAAAGATTTTGGGAAGGGAGGAGAGAGTCATGGAGGGAGGCTGAGGGTGGCAGACATAGCCCTGCTGTACTGAGCAAGAGGCTCTTCCCCATACCTCTCCCTGTGGATTTCACACAGATTTTCCCTGCATTGCCTGCTGCTGGCCATTCCTCCTGGCTCACAGGGAAGTGTTGGCATCGTTTAGCTCGATGAGAGACACAGTGTGGGCTGGGACATTCATTCTTTACACATCCCTCCAGCAATGCCTAATGTCAAGCCTTTGCCAGCAGGGAGAAGCCCACAGCAACTTCCCAGCCCCTGCCCCTGCACATACATCACATGGGCTGCTGAGTGTGCTTTAACAGATGGCAAATGAGAATAGAGGTGATGTGTGAGTAAGTGGAACCAGAACTGCAGCTGTTGCAGTAGTTAGTGACCACTCAGTAGAAGTTTTTCACTGAAATGTTGATACCTGCTTTCTGATGGACTGGTGCCTTCCCATTGTTATTGTCCTTGTCAGTAAAGCTTTAAATTTATTCATGAAGCATGCTGGAGCTCAGGTGGCAATAGCTAAATCCATTTAGCAGTAGGAATAAGAGGAAAGCCATTTTAACATTCTCTTGCAGTGCTGCAGTACTTAGCAAACCCAAAGGATATTAATTACTCAGCATGCTCTGAGATGTAAAAGCATGAATTTATCAAGACAAATACATTCAGAACTAGGCTAAGTCAACAGTAATTAATGCCATGCAAAAAAGAGATGGAGAAAGGAAGGATTAGCTGGCCCTCTTGTAGGAGAACATGATGTAACCCTGAGTTATCCCTGGGATATGGGACTGGAGTTGTGGTGAGGCATCTCTAACAAAAATATCTGCCTGTGCCTGTCATTTGTACCCCTGGGATGGGGATTTGGTCTTAGTTCACATTTCCAGGGTAGAATGATGCAGGCAGCCTCTGAAATACTAAGTCATGCTTGGCAGGCAGCAACAGCTTTTTCATGCAAAACCTTCAATATTGGAAGGCACTTGAGAAGGAGAGGGGCATAGGCCTTTTTTGTTTGCCACCAAATTAGTCTACACTGTCCCAATGTTTTCATGGTGTTTAGCAATCATATAATCATGAGCACAGCCAGAGATGAGTGGCAGCTTGAGAGATGAATTGGTAGGCTCTCCTTGACAAATGTAAGCATAACATGTGTCTTTATAACACATCCATTAGGGCAGAGAAATGTAAAATCCAGAGATTACTGCTCTGCATTTAACAGTCACAGCATTTGGAGAGTACTTATGTCTTCCTCATCACCAGTGTTGGGTCAAGCTTGGAAAAAAACAGCAAAAACACTAAAGCAATTTGAGCAAACAAGTCTAGTCATGCCTTATTTAAAGGTGCTTTACTCTGTGTGAAGTGTGTCCTGTTTTAAAGGTGGTTTACTCTATAGGAAGTGAGTACAGCCAGTGCTGATTTTTTGTCTCCAGGTCATGGGGATGACACAGATGACTTCAACCTAGAAGATGCTCTGTTTGACCCTGTCACCAGGCGACGTAAGTCATATTTTTGCATTGTCTTAAAGAGAAGAAAATAAGTAGATGTTAATAGATGTGATTTGTTCCTTTGGATCTGATGCTGGTGGAAGGTAGGGTGGTAAAGGATACAGCTGCCTCATCCTCTCTGCTTGGGAGACACAGGGTCTGGGTTTGCACACAGGTGGAGCTGGAGATATTCCTGGAGAAGCTGGCTGGTGACCAGGTGCCCTTTGTGTAATGACTCCTGTGAGGAACCACAGAGGCACAACACACCTGTGCTCTGAGGTAGCAATGGCAATGAATTTGCCCTTTTGGCTTCCTTGCATCCCTCAGTAACGCATACCACCAGGCCTGGCCCTGTTGGCCTAGAACCAGTGCATCATCCCTCCCTTCCCCAGCTGTGGAGGGTAGCTCACTGTGCCTGGCCAGGCAGGGGAAACACCAGGTCGTTCCCTGCTCCCATTGCAGTGTGGTGCCTGGGAAAGCAAACAGCGCATGAGGTCACTGCTCTGCTTTGCTGGAGTTCCAGTGTAGCCCATTAGTCAAAGAAAACTCACTTCCTCAGGGGGTGCCTCACTGCTGACATGCAGCATTCAGTATTTTGGGGTTTTACACCCCAAGGGCAAAACCTAACTGCCAGCACAGCAGCTGAAGGATGGGAGGAGGCTCACCTCCCTCCCTGGGGATGCCTTCACATGCCTTCCCCCAGTGCCAAGGGCTGAGCCCAATACCACTGTGCACCCACACACGTCTCTGGCTCCTTTTGCTCCCCAGCCATGGAGATGCTGTGGCAGAGCTGCAAATGCCAGCACCCAGGACCCCTTGCTGCCCAGCACTCCCCACGCTATTCATTGCTGTCCCCAGACCCAGCACCTGTTGGGGCAGCAGCAAGGATTGCTCCATGAGCAATACTAGGCTCTGGGATCAGGCAGAATATACCCACGTGTATCAAAGGGAAAGCTGTACCAGTGTTTGAAACCCCTTGTGCTGTAGTCTAACAACAGACGGATATTTCTGCTGTGTTACTTTGGAGTTTATGTGGAATAGAGGATGCTCTCTGAAGCTCTCCTGAAGTGTACCAGGCTGGGCATTGGGGTATCAGATGTGGTCACCGGGCTGATGCAGCTCATCTAGGGTTTTGAAAAAGCCCTTTAATGCAGCACATGAGGAGACCTGGTTAGAAAGGACTAATGGCCACCTCATGTGGAGGGAAAGTGGCATTCTCCAGGCTGGAATCCCAGCATTGAGGGAAGAGGCAGCACTGTCCACCATGGCCTCCTCAAGTGCTGCATCCCACTCTGGATTCATCAGCCCCCCAAAAAAGCAAATGAAGGGTCTGGAGTTGGGTCACATCAAACCATATCAGCATGCTGGAAGTGAAGCCCAGTGGCACCACTCCAGTGTAATGGAAATTAATGGGAACAGAGCAGCCACAGCTCTTGCTCATAATTTATTCATATACTTAGTAATGCCAGCCACTGTTATTAGGCAGTGTTTTCCATATTGCTCTCTCCCTCCTCCCTCAATGGCTGTCTGTAGCTTATTTTAGCCCAGGAGCAGCAAGGGGAGCTGGGATTCGAGTATCAGGGTGTCACTGAAAGCCCTCCAGCTGACAGGGAATCTCCCGTACATAACACACCATGGGAAATTATCTGTTGTTGGACTGACTGACCAGGCCAGGGACACCAAAACATTGGCAACTTGCTGCTGGCTGCAATGCTGTTCTGTGCAGCATCTACCCTTGCCTGTCTACTGCTGTATCAAAGGAACTTTAGAGCAGATTGTTGCAGCTCCTTGCTCTTCACCAGCTGGGATGGGATGCTGGCTCATCTCAAGGCAGCAGTGCCCTGTAGAGCACTGGGTTCCATTTTCACCCATGGGCAGTCCCGATCTTTGTGGCCACGCATTGTGTGCAGGGTGTTAATGGCCCCTTGCCCTGAGTTTACAAATGCAGATGTCAGAAAGTTGTGGTGAAATCTTTGCTATTCATTCTCAATCCAGAGGTGCCATTTTTGGTGATGCCTATGACTAACACATTTCCTCCCCATCTGTTTTATCTCAGCCACTCCCAAGGGCCCCAGAAAGCCAGCAGGTGGGACAGGTGAGACCTTCTTGCATGCATACCATCTCAGCTCAGTGTGGGGTGCACTTCCCATGGGATTGAACTGAGTAAGTACCCATGGGCTGCCCATGTGTGGCTGAGTGCTGCTGCCTCAGCAGCTGCTTTGGGACCCCTTTACTTGCCCATGGGGAAGCTGGAGCTGGTGTGTGGACCTGCACTGTTCTGTGCAGCCAGAGAAATGCAATATTGATATTTCTGTCCATGCTGAAGGTGAGGGGCAGTGGAGCATTTACAACCAAGGCAGAATTTCACACACTTTGTAGTATCCTATTGGAGAAGACACAAGTCACTCCTCAGCTACAGAAGGGCTTGTGTTCCTGTCTGCATGGCACCTGCTAGCTTTCCTTCCAGGAGGAAGTCCAGAGGATATTTTCCTTCATTTTTTTTGTATTCCAGGATATCCCTAGGCTCCACAGAAAGTCCCATCTTGGTGACACTTTCCTATCCAGGGGAGAATGGGTCTCTGACTGTTGGTGCACATCAAATGTGCAGGCTGGCCAGTTCCCAGCAGTGCCATGGTTGAGGAAGCTCCCTTAAATTCACATGGGTTTTGTTGCCAGCAGCTCCTCTGGTTCAGTTCTGGCCAAAGAGTCCCTGTTAAATATAGCAGAGTCACAGGAGGCAAAGGGTTGCTTAGCCCCGCTGGAGGAGCCTGCAATAAACTGCATCAGAGGAGTGCTCAGAAGTAAATCTGCTCACCTCTGCATGAGGATCTTGGCACAAATTTAGGTAAATTGAACTGTCTGGCTCCATGGCCACCATGGTCTTTGCTAGGGACAAGGAAAGCCAAGTGCCAGAGGCACACACAGGGCTTGTGTTTGGATCACAGCCTGAATGAGAGGTTGTTTGATCCAGTAAACTCCCCCTGGGAAATGGATACATATGGAGGCTGAGGCTTTGTCCCAGACAGTTCCTTCTTCCCCACGGAGTGCTTTTTTGGCTGAATGAAGGCACTGAGAGGCTCCTGCAGTAGATTCCCGTGCCCTGGCCCTTCTCTGTGCATGCTCTGCTCAGCTTAAGATCACTCATGGGCAGCTGCACAGGGAGCAGCATCCCAGCCACTGGCTCAGTCCCACAGCCCCTTCTCATCTGCACCAACTCTCAGGAGATGCAGGTACCAGCAGGACTACCCCAAAAGTGAATTATTTTTTAATTGCTAGGGCTGGGCAGCAGCCACAGCTTGAATGGGGAAACTGAAATGGTGGCCAGGCTTTTCCGAAGCTTTTGTGATAGGTCACAATTGAGCAGCAAAGTGGCTGGATGCCCTTTCCAGTTCCAGCCTGACATGAGAGGCCTTACCAATGGTGCAGCATCATTGCACAACACCTACAGAGCCTTGTGCCATCCCCACAAACAGGAGTGTAATAATCCCTTCTCTCCTACAGACTTCGATTTGGCTGATTACTTTGACACACCTATGGAGACTACCACCAAACCAACCAAGCCAACTCCCAAGCCCTTCCCCAGGCCAGGGAAGCCAGGTAATATTGCTATTTGTGCCAGGTAGTTGTGGATGCCCCCTGCAGGCTCGAGCATCCACAGAGCACGCAGAGGGAGGGGTGCCCCCAGAGCACAGAGCTGGCCCAGTGCAGACCCAGTCTCCTAGCAGAGTGGGGGTTTCCCCACATGGCACTCCTCTGAATCCACATTTCAGAAAGTTAACATCATTTTGGTCTTTTTTTTTCTTCCCTTCAGACAATGACTTCTGGGATGTCATTCGCACCACCACGACCAAGCAGCCAAAAACTACAAGAGCCCCTCATAAGCGTAACCCAGGTGAGCATCTCCACAGCCCCTGCCACTTCACTCCAGCTCTACTGCTGGCACTGGGGGGGATTTGAGATGATGGTGGCACTACCCTCACCCTGATATTTCCAACCTCTGGTCTGTTTGCTCACCTGAAACACCTCGAGGTAAAAAACAAATATCAAAAACCACAGAGAAGTCAGGGCATCTGAACATTACCCTGCATTTCCCAGGGGACCTCAGTGGTTTCTGGACTATGTTTCATTTCCATGCTTGCTGGAAGGCTGGTTGTGAGCTGGTTGTGCTCTCTATCATGGTACAGCCATGTTGGCTCCACTGGCAGACATCCACAGGCTCAGGACATCCTGTCACCTGGTCATTTTGCTGCCTGCCAAGGCAGGGTTTTGATTTGGATCAGAATAAACTCAGGAGTGCACTGGTGGGAGGGCTGAGGAGCTCAGTTGGCTCTGAGCAAACTGGGGTTTTAGCTGATGTATATGAAAGACAATATCCTCTGTCAGAGCCAGGCAGCTCATGGGACCAACAGAGCATTCACAGAGGAAAACAACTCCAAGGAATCAAGTCACAGGCCATTCCAGCTGGCATTGTGAGCATGGTAGAGCCACCTGCCTCCCTTCCACTGGCTGGGTCCTCAGAGCACCAGTTTGCCTCTGACTTTTCCTACTAGCCTAATTTATCTGATTGCCTGGCACTCCAGACATCCAGCACTGTTTCTGCAGGAAGGACATGATATTTCTCACCACAGCAGTTTGGGGGCATGAAACAGGATGGGTTTGGAAGATCTGCCATACGGCCCCATAGCAGAATTGGGAAATGCTTGCATCTGGAGCTTCATCTCTTTCAACAGTGTTTTTCCCTGATTAATGAAACAATTGCAGGGTTCCTTAGCCTATCACAACACTGCTAACTCTGGTCTTGTTTTCTAGAAAAGGATCCTATGGATTTTGACTTGGCTGATGCCCTTGATGATAAGAACGATAGGAAAGATATTGGGCAGCCGGACATAAGGCCAGGTGAAGGTAGGCTGATCTCTCCTCTCTGTCCTGCTTACTACTGGCCCTGCTGTTCCCTGGGTCCTGTAGGAGATCCTTCCCAGCCTGACACCATTCCCACCAAATGATGGGATAAAGGGAAACAGGTGCTGCCTGGTCCCACTGCCAGCATCCACTGCCCCTGTCCTGCTTGCTCAATGTGGAGACATTTCTACAGGCAGCTTGATCCTGGGGAAGGAAGGAGCCTCTTCCTCAATGGTCCCTGGCAGAGATGAGCTGTTCCTAACAACTTGCTCCCTGTCTGTTTGCAGGTTTTTTCTCCCAGGGTCTCTTCTGATCCATTAAGTTGCAGTGGTTGTTTTGAATTCCCCCATCCCCGTACCTGACAGCTTTTTAACCGAGTGCATGGGCTGCTGGAGTTCAGTCACTGACAAGGTGTAAATCTAGAGTAGGCTAAGGTCCTGGCCTAACACACCCTATGGGCTGGAAGGGGTCTTTTTCCATCTCAGAAATACTATGGAGAATGAATCATTTGTCTGTGTTGATTGTTCCCCTGAGCACTTGAGCTGGGAAACAGACTTTGCACGGCTGGTTTATTGATGTCAGGATGGTTGTATACCCTGCTCACACGCGTACTTAACAAGTGGGTATTTTATTACTTTGTATTAGTTAAATGACTTGTCTGCACTTGGGTGTTCTTGGCTTGCTGAGTTTTCAGGCTCCTGCAGGAAAGGTTGAGGTGTTGAACTGCTGGAACATGAATAAGCTGATGAATAAGGCAGTCTCTTCCACACTGTTAAGGCAAAGGAAGTCCTTCCCAATGCACAGCATCAGAGGAGGAACCTTTTGCTGTCTTGGTGTTGGACCTCTGCTCCCATCACTCACCTTGCTGCACCCCAGGGCTGCCTCTGGGACTGGAGCTGAGATGTTCAACAGCACCACTCATTCAGCTGCAGATTCACAGACCCTGTTTTTCTGTACTTATCCTGCATTAATTAGAATTGCCCACTACAAGATAACTTTTTCACATGTACCAAAAGATGCTGGTGCTCAGTTTTTCCCTTGGACTGTTCTGTCTCTCTGGGAAGGATAAAGGTCAGCTCCTGCCTGCAGGATTCCAGAGGCTCACTGGTCCCCAGCAGCATGGCCATGGCACACAAAAACCATTTCTTCCTGCCTCCTCCACTCTCAACCGAGGCTGACCACCAAAACATTTAATGAACTCTTAAATTATCAGTCATTTGTGATAATCACTTATCATCACTCTTAAAAAATCAATAATTTCAGTTAAAAAAATAATACAGTAGCATTTAAACTAGTCAGTTATTACCTCTTCTATGACCTTAAAGGAGTTCATGGTTAACATCTGGTAATTGTGAGAGAAGCAGTACTACTTTTTGACCAGTCCCAGTTCCCGAGTGGGGATGGAGCAGCCCATGATCCCAACCTCCAGCACAGCTGTGGCTCCCTCAGGTGCCAACCACTGTTTGTTCCTGTTCCTTTTAAAGGATTTTCAGACGATGACCTGGCCAGCATTGTGGATGGTGGCTACAGCCCAGACAAGAAGAAGGGTAAGTGGTGACCTACAGATGGTTGTTTTCTTTAGCAGTTATGGCTTGGGGTTACCCCTCAACTCCTAGAAAGAGCCCTGTGCAGAGCAGTGCTGCCTCCATGGTGGGGGCAGAAAGGAATCTCAGCCATGGAGCCAAGGGAAAAGTTCTTGGCCTCTGTGATCATGTCTGGTGCCAGCCATTGGAGATGCTTGGTTTTGAGTCCATGGAGGCTCTGCAGCACCAGCTGCCACCAGGAGAGATGGGACCTGTGTCTCCCCTATCACCTCGAGGGCACCCTGGTGTCATGCATGGGTACATGCCTACATTTGCCTTCCACCACACGACCACCAATGTTTGGAACAAGGGGGAAATCCAGCAACAATTGGATAAGCTGTTCACAAGGATCCACAGCATTAAATATTAAAAGCAGTCATGTAAAGAGCTGAACATCACAAGCCTAATCAACATTTAATAAATCCCTGTGCCAAGGACAAGACACATCAGAGGCATTACTCCAATTCTGACCTGCTTCAATAAATTCAGGGTGTGAACTGACTTAGCAAGGACTGAAGTTCCGAGTGGGAGCACCTTCTCCTCCCAGCCCAGTTTCTCTAGGGAAGCCACAATAGACTTCAAGCCAATTGAGGGTTCCTTGACGTGATGGAGCTCAGGCAGTCATCTCCCTGTGTGCTGCGTAACACTATCAGCCCTTCAGGTGTTCTCTTGACACTGAGCAGTGGAGATGTAAAAGGTGGGGGTGAGGGTAATTGTCAGATACAGGCATCCCATGCAGAGGAGCCCCCAAAACTTCCCCATACACACAAAGAGGGAGAGGAGTAGCTTCAAAGCCCTCAGAAGTAAAAATGAACAGCCCAGTGGAGTGTGGGGGCAACAGAAAAGCTGCAGCCTGTGGAGGCATCTGCCCACCCCCAGGCCAGGGCTGCCCTGCCACCTCTCTCCTGTGTGTCCCCTCCCTCCCAGCACAGCAGTGCGGAGAGCGGAGGGGGCAGGGGCACTGATGGGATTGTGTCTCTGCAGGTGCCAGTGGCAACACCGACAACAACTACAGCGGAGGTAAGTGTCACAGTGGATGGTGAGGCAGGAGGGGTGGTGTGTGTGCCCATCACAAAGCTCTCTCTGTGCCCCACAGTAGCAGAGACAGGGACAATCGCCGGCATTGCCAGTGGCCTGGCCATGGCGCTCATTGGGGCTGTCTCCAGCTACATCTCCTACCAGCAGAAGAAGTTCTGCTTCAGCATCCAGCGTAAGTCCTTCCCCAAGCACCCCAGCGCACACAGCAAGCACACACCTGTTTCACCCTAAACCCCACTGCCATTCTCTACCCAGTGCCCCTGAGCTAGCAGAACAAAGCCCCAGCCACATTCATTAAGCCTCCCCCATGTCAGGTTTTGCACAGACAGGAGCCCACCTGCAGCAGCAGCCCCAGGACCCACTGCCACCCCCAGGGCTCACACTGTCCCTCATACCCCACAGAAACACAGCCTAAGACCAAACTATGAATACCAAACACAGTAAATATGAAAAAACCCCAAAACCATCCCACCCCAAAATAAACAAACCAAATCCCCCCCAAGAAAAGCCCCCTCAGAAAGCAGTAAAAACTCACCAGGCACAGGAAAGGAAGCAGGGGCAGTGGATACACCTGGGGCTTCAGCCCACTGCTCCCTCAGCAGGTACGTGACAATCATTGCAGTAAACTACAAATTAAGCAGCAAAACTTAACATAAAACACCTTGTGCACAAGCTGCCCCTTAAAGCTGCTTGGTGCAAGCATTACAGGAGGGTTCTCACAGCCTCAGCCCACAGCACTCACCTGACTATAGTGGGCTCCTGCAGCTTGCTCTTTCTGGGAGGGAAGTTAAAAGAAGCTGAGTTACAAGCTCTTTTTTCAAATTAATTGAAATCTCCTGTGAGTCCCATTTGCCATAGGGAAAGGTTGTTTGGAGTTGGAAATTTCTGTTGGAATAGTGCTATTTTCCCAGTTGTGACTGAAACAAACAGCATTTTGGTAAATTAGATCAGCAGGAAAAGTCAAATGAATGTGATGGAATGAAACACCCTTGTATATTCCCCCCCACTTAAATGATATTTTGGGAAGAATAAATAATAAAAAAAATGGAGTAAAGTCTTTGATGAGGAGGAAGCTGAGAGACACAAAGCCCCAGAAAGGCAGCACAAAATTAAAGTTAATTATAAAGGAGGATTAATTTAAGCCATCAGACATGGCATGCTGGGCTAATGTCAGGCTATAGATGCATTGCAGTGCATGACAGAAATCTTAAGAGCTGTCAGCCACTGCAAAAGTGGCTTTTTATTGAAAAACATAAATTGCATTTCGTGTTATTCCAGAAAAACACATGCCTGGGTGGAGGCAATGGTGATGTGCAGTGACCACTCGCTTAATGTGAGGAACAGGCTTGGTTCTTTCTCTTGCCCAGCTGTCCTTCATTTTTGAGTCTCTTCTAAGGAGTATTTGCTGATGATTCCCCTAAAGGACATGCACAATGCTGCCTAGAGCTCTTCACCCCACTTTCTTTTCTTACACCTCAGCTCATACTTGCCAGCCATGCTCTAGTCTGTAGCTCAGCCTCTTGGTGTCCCTGAGCTCTTGCTGTGCCTGGGCAGGGTGGGAGCTGTACCTTTCCTGCCTCCACAGCTTGGCCAGCTGCTGTCTGCAGTGTCTCTGCTGGTGTGGGGACTTTATGGGGGTTTTCTAGCCAGTTGCAGAACTTTTTTCTCCTGTGTCTTGGAGACAGCAGCTGCCCCATTGCTGCCTAAGGCTCCCACCACACTCCTTTAACTCGGTCCTGGCACTATTCCCTGCCTCCCTCCTTCACTGCATGATAGCAATGAGCCCTATCCAAACCTGGTAGTGATGTACAGCCAGTACCTGTCATACCCTGAGCCATATTTAGATGTGCAAACAAGTTATAGATGCCTAAAAAGTGTATGCTGTGTGGCCTGATTGCCCAGGCTTCATTTGCAGAGCAGCACCCAAATCCCCTTCCCTAGTCCCTCTCTAATGGATGCAACAGCACAGCACTTTCACCTCTGCCTTCCCCCACAGTTGTCCCTTAGAGGAACTGCTGAGGATGGCGAAGTCCATGGCATACCCCAGACTGTCTTAATTCATCTCCAGCTCTGAGCTGGACCACCCCCTTTCTCCTGCCCACCAGTGTCCAGCCTTGCTCCTTGGCCTCAGCTCCACTTGTTGATAATGTTGGGAACTTCTTTGCATTTAAATAAGGGACTTATTTGGGATTTGACACCCCACTGAGATCCTGCTTCATCACCACAGCCCTGCTCTGAGCTACTTCTTGAAGCTCTGCATAATTTAGCTTTTAATGAGGCTGTGGCACATCTCTGTGCTGAGGTGCAGGCCCTGCTGCACAGCAGTCCTTCTCTGGGAAGCCTTCCTCCTCAGAGCTGAGCGCCTCAGACAGGAATTAGCTGGGCTGTCTTGCATGATGAAGGTGAAGCAGGAGCCTCAGACAAAAGAGCTGCTGCTAGAGCTGAGCCTGCCAGGATCTCCATGGGTGCTTTGAAACCCAGGAAGTCTCAGCACTGGCTGTGGGTTATTGAGGCTCTGTGCTGCTGTCACTGCAGAGTAGGTTTCAAAAAAAACTTCTCGGCTGTTACAGCTCTGAGGCCCATTACCAGAGTTTTTAAGGCATCAAAGCAAATAATTTTACTTTCTACCCATCTCACTCTGTTTATTGTACTTCTCAGAGGGACTGAATGCAGAGTATGTGAAAGGAGAAAACATGGAAGCTGTCGTGAGCGAGGAGCCCCAGGGTGAGAGCCTTGTATCCCTTACCCCTGCCTGCATCCCTCCACAAAATAGCTTTGCTGAGGGACTTCTTTAAAGTCCCTGGTGCTGCATGGAGCTGCTGTATCCCTTTGATGATGGCACTGCTTAGGTGATGCTACAGCTTTTGTGAAACACCCACCACAGTGCTTTTACCCCTTAACTGCACACAAAGGAAAGCCTGGTAAGAACCCAAAGACCTCACGCTGCAAAAGATGGCAGTTAACATTTACCTTTCATGTAATCAACTATTGAGTCTTGCACAAGAGAAGCATGATCTTTCTATCAGTGACAGACAATCAAGGTTGCTGCAAAGGCTTTTCCAGTGTCACATACAATCAGCCAGTGCTTGGGTGCCCATTGCTTGTGCCCTGGTTCCATCGTGTGCTATTGTACTCATGGGTTTTTTTCTTTCTCCCTAGTTAAATATTCAGTCCTGGAAACGCAGTCAGCAGAACCACCAAAACAAGACAGTGTGAAGATATAAAGTGTGACCCAGGGCTAGAAAATAATCAGTCAGCAGCAACAGAGATCTTATATGCTTGTAATTAAGCTTTTAATTTAATTTGACTCCAAAGCTATTTAATGTGCATTTAAGCTTGAACTGGCTTTTTGTTGCTCTAGGCTTTAGGGTTAGACTGGTAGCATGTGTTTATTTTTTGTGAAGAGGTTTATGTTTACATCGAAGTAGTAGTGTAGGATTGGTGTGCAGTTGTATGGAAATCCACAGAAGGTACTTCAGCAGTGGTCAGTTTTTCAAGAGTTTACAGGTATGAGGACAGTGAGGTGCCTGTAAATAGCAATCCAAAGTCAAACCCTGCAAAGCCCTCTGCAAAGCACCTCCAGCCACCTTCTGCCATTGGCTCTAGACAGTATCACTTCCAATGGCAGGAACAAAGCTGCACATTTCCTGAGGATAGACTGCAGTCCTTCATGTAGCTACACCTAAAAATGAAGTGCCTATGGTGGGTCCTCATGTGGGGGGCCTTGCGCTGAGCCAGGTGACTCCCTGCTCCCAAGCCAGGAGTTGAGGATGCTTCACCACCACCACCACCCAGTGCTGGGCTTCTAACCAAAGGACCTGATTTTCACACCAAGTCACAAATACAGTTGAGAGTGTGTGCAGTGTTCACTTTCACCAAATGCCATTTGAATGCTCCACTGTGCTGCAGATCAGAATGAAACTGAAGTGATACGGTTTGTCTTAAGCTGCACCAGGGGAAGTTCAGGTTAGACATTAGGAAAAAATTCTTCACTGAAAGAGTGATTGGGCACTGGACTTGTCTGCTCAGGGAGGTGGTGGAGTCAGTGTCCCTGGACATGTTTAAGAAAAGACTGGATGTGGCACTCAGTGCCATGGTTTAGTTGATGAGGATGTGTTAGGTTAGGTCATAGGTTGGACCAGATGATCTCAAATGTCTTTTCCAACCTAGCTCATTCTGTGATTCTGTGATTCTGTCTCTGTGACTTGAGATACCTAAGTTGTCACCACAATTAAAGCTGTGTGCATATGGATGCTTTCAAGGACAGGTTCAGATTTCAGTCACACTAGAACAAGTTACAGATTTAACCCAAAAGAAAATAAGCAAAGCAGGTATCTGTTAAGATCTGTAATGCTCAATACCACAACAGAAGTCAAGCTTAAGAAGATGCAGTCCCCTCCTTCTATCAGCAACTATATCAGGAGTGCTCCCAGGCACCTAGAGGCAGAAAAATAATTTAAATTTCATTCTTTGTGTCATTGGCTAAACCTTTAAAAAAGGCAGTACCTTCTGAGAGGATGAATCCTCCATCACTGTCCTGCATGGGGTTCCTGCCTGGGAAACATTGGGCTGTGACTGGTGCTCAGCAGAACACTGGGCTGCACCAGGACAGTGCATACACAGCCCCTGCTACGCTGCTGAACCGCTGCCTTAGACCCAGCCTTCACTATCTTGCAAGAATTTCTGTTTCGATTTCTAATCCCTCCCAAGCAAGCTTTTTGACTCCTGCTAAAATGTGAATAACTGCCACTTTCCAATACATTTTTCCAAATCAATGATTCCTTAAAAAGCATGCTCTTGAGTGAAGGAAATTCCACTTTACTTGGTGTAAAAGGTACTATTTATATATAAACCTGAAATGTGAGCAATGGGTTTGCAAATTCCATATTTTATGAATGTTATTAAGAAAACCAAACCTTTCAGTATCATGTACAAATACACAGTTTTCAGGTAGACTTAACTTCCAGAAGGCCTTGCGAGGAGGTGAATGAGCCCAGGAGCATTGCTGTCTAACAGCACTATTTGGAAGGAAATTTCCTAGTAACTTGTTTAAGTATTTCACAATTGCTGCACAATTCTTTATGCTCTTTTTAACACTTGCATTTTTAAAGCCTTATACTAGCTCTGGCAGAACAGCTACAGTGGTTTATAAGGTGCCTCACAACTATTCAGAACACTTAGGCTATGATACTACTCTGAACTTCTGCTGCTTTGTTTTATGAATGTGTTTGGAATAGGAAAGAAATGTTAGTAATTGGCTCAGATAATGGAAGCATAGGAAAGAGATGGGATGTACTGTTTGCTTACTCCCAGAGAAATGTTTTCATGGAGGAAGTATGGTCTGCAGAATTTGCAACAGGAGTTCAGGTGCTGGCTAAGCCACACAGCTGAATTCGTGTATCTCCAGTCCCAAGCACCAGCACTTGTTTTTTGTTCTTACCCAAACATATTTGAAAGCTGTAGCATGAAGTGTGTTTTCTGTAAGTTACTGTGGATGAAGTGTATAACAGATGATCACTAGAAGCTGTTTTCCCAGCTTAGATCTAGTGCTCATAATTCCTCCTCTCACTTTGCCAGTGACCATGTTCCTGCAGATGCAGATCACAGGTTTCACCCTGCCCTGCCTGTCTGACCAGAGTGTCACTAGTCAGTGTGGTTTAAAGAGTAAAGCACCTACCCCTCCTCTGGGGACTCTTATATTAGGGCATAGAAGGAACACAAGTCTAATTCAAAATACTGCAGGACACAAATTTAACAAAGAAAGGCAGCAAGCTCTTTCACTGGAAAACCCGCCCCAGTGTTTGGGACTCAGAAGCTGCTGCTTTGCCCAAGGCTGTTCTATAATGTTGGTGACTACTTACACCTTAGTGTAACGTGTAGGTTTGTGGAAATCCATAAATGCACAGTGAAAGAGAACACTTACAAAGTGAATAGTGACAGAATTCAAGATTTCTTTCTCTAGGATTTTGAATAGGAAAATACTTGCAAATCCTTCAGTAGAGAAATAGGCTTGGCCTTCTCGTCAAAACTGAACAAAAGGCAGAGTCTTAGTGGTAAATGTCAGCAAAGGCTCAAATGATTTTTTTTATTTGCTGTTTGTCCCTTCTTCCATCTGAGCTGCCACCACTCTCTGAGAAATATGGAGTTTATACATCATCTATATTTTAGGCATTATAGCAACTGAGAGGTTTCCTGTGTATTTTCCTAGTAGTGCTCTAAGTTCTGGAACAGCTGACCCAGCACTGACTTCTACTTTCATTTAATTATGATTTATTCACTTTAAATCGGGATATGGATTTTTAAAAAATCCTGCATTTAAGCTCTGTATACATGGCATGAACTTTCTTGTCCTTTATAAAAAAGCCAATAAACCACTAGAAAATTGGTTTGCTTTTTTTTCTTTAATGAGTCCAAAACCTATACATACAGATATCCTGAGAGTTTTTGTACGATGTATGCTGTGAGCTCTTTTTCTTATGACACCTCACTTCTAAAGCTATTTTAAATGGCAATAAAATGATTCAGAAAAGGTTTTGCAAAGGTTTGACAGAGAAAAGAGAGAATTGAAAGAATTCAGCTGGCTCGTTTTGTGTTTATTCTTTAAATTACTTGCATTTTCCTTTGGCAGTACTTTGTTTCAGATTCTTCAGCTGACATGAATTTCAGATCTTTTTGGCACTATAAACTCAGTAATTTTCATGCAGCCCCACTAACGAACCCTTACAAGTGCTCCATTGTCATTCTTAACTACTCATTTGTTGTGATAAAAGTGGAATTAGTCCACAATACTGTTTCAGATTCTGAAAAAGGATGAGTTGGCAGGCTGAGGCTTTAAAAATTGCTTCTCTAACAGATGAGGTTCAGGAACAAATGAAGTTCAGAAACCACGGGGTTGTGAAATTAGAGAACATTTTCTTTTGAGTGAAGTTCTAACTTAGAAGCAAGACAGATTCCTTGCTGCTGAAGAAGTGACCTGTACCAAATGAAGGTTGAATGTTAAGCTGTAACAAAATACATTTTGTTAATGTGCATGTAAGGGTCACAGGAGTTAAAACCAGAATTTAACTACCTTTGGAAAACATCAAATAAACCAAGTTGACTAGAAAGACATTTTAGACTTGATTATTTTTGTGTTATTTTTTTTAATGATGGAAGTAAGCTGCAAGTGTTTGGCTATATCCTTATGGTACATCACCTCTTCTCTAACTACAGTGAAAACTTCATTTAAAAAAATGATCCAAAACAGACTTTGTGAGAAAACAAATACCACTATGAAAACTTTAATGGTAAAAAATGGAGCATTTGCATGCATGCACACACATACACACTCTCTATCTCCCCTCCCCCCTCAGGTCGCCCAGCAGCTAAACTCAAGGCAGTGCCCAAGGTTTCCTGCAGTTTTCTTTACATTTTCACACCCAGTAGATATATGTCCCATGCAGTGCAAACTAAGCTTTTAAGTATAATGATGCGATGCTCAGTCTCACAGTCAAAAAAGTCAAGAAAGGTGGTTTATATGTCAAACTAACTACTTCTGACTCACGTGTCTTAACTCTTTCCTCCCAACTGCACAAGATCTGGCAGTTAAAAGCTATCAGTACCCTCTTAGCTCAGCAGATACGGTCTCAGCAAATGGACATTCCTTTTTGCTTTTTACCATAAATATTTCACCTGGGGAATAGTCTGAATTTCCCATTTTACTGTGTACTCTGTTGAGGCTTAGTGCACATGAATGAGAGCTCTTGATTCCTTGTTTTCAACTTCTACAGAACCAGCTGTTCTTGGTGTTACCACATACAGCACATGAATCAGTACAGCTTATCTTGGAAAATGAAAGCAATGAAACACTTCTTGTTTAAAGCTGTAATTCCTTGAGAAGACTGCCTCTGCAGGGAACAGAACCAAGCAGTTAGGAGTGTTTACTGGCTTTAAAAGCCTTCTTCCATTTTAATGAAACAACAAAAAAATTACTTTTATCTACAAAGGAGAAAGAAGTGTAAATTCAGCTCTGATACAGGACTAAAATGGCCAAGTCTCTGATGCTGATGATTCACTTAACTTACGTTACAAGCAAGAAGTGTGTCAGCTGGTTACCAAGGCTTCATCTCTTTCTGGGACACTGGATTCAGGTTGTACAACCCCCTCTCATATGTCATTGACAATAGGAAAATCCTACAAGCCCAATGTAACTGCTTGCTGTCTTTGCACATTCCCTTTATACTGAGCAGTCAAAACCAAAAACCAAAGCAGGAAATCTAGCTTTTGAACCAGAAGTTAATAGCTCTGTCCAAAGCGCATCAGAGAGGGAACAGGATTCTGCTCTTCGCTTAGCTAGTTCAATACTGTCTTATTAAAAAAACAAACAAACAAAACCCCCCCAAAAAACCAATTAGTTGTTAAATCAATAGGAGAAACCCTGATTATCAGGAAGCAGACTTGAGTACAACAATCATCTCTTCAGTGTAAAGCTATGCTCTAACTAGCCCATATGAACTACAGAATCTCTGAATATTTCTATACTATGTACAAACCCATCCACTGTGCTGACACAAGGAACAACAGGACCCTCCCCCAGATATTTCTTGTACATCAGAGACTTGCTGAGCTGTGTTGAAACTGGTGGATACACAGCCAGTCATCTGAAATAATTGAAGTTCTTCTATGCAAAACCAAATTCTCAGAGTTTAGCTTTAGAAATCCAAGCTTTAAAAGTCTCAGAATGCCCAAGCTAATCCAGTCATCACTTTTGCAATAATTATAGAGAAAATACTGTGATTATTAGCACAAATATAGAGAAAAACTTCAAAAGATTTTCTTTAGCACTGCATTTTGGAGATAATGTGCTTTACTTTAATACACAGTTGAAATGTCAAGGGAATCTGAAGTACAGAAGAGTTTCATTCAATACCAGCTCAACGTATTTTTGCCGATGTAGAATTCACTGCTGACACACTGTTCAGCAGAATCATTTTTACAGGAAAACATCTTTCATCTATTTATAAAAAGCCTGAGGCTGA